GAACAAGGACAGGTAGCTGTTTGTTTCTGGAAACTAATTTAAGGAGGCTGTTCTATAGGCAGGGGATGTGTTGTAAGGATGAATATTTTTCACCCTTGGGCTGCCTGATTCCTCACATGTAGTTACCCTGGTTCTGTTGAAGGACCATAGGTTGTGATTCAACATAGCATTTAGTCATGTACCCAGGTAACTCCACCTGTGTTAGCTGCACCACAGAAAACCATATGCTTAAAGGACATCAAAACCAGACCTTTTCTAGACTTAAAAGAAAAAAAATAAAAATAAATAAATAAAGGAGGGTGCAGAGGAGGGAAGAAAGAAAGAAAGTCTATAATTGGAACTTTCAAGTTTTTGCCAAGAAAAGTAAAACACTGATTTGTGTGCCAGCCTTAATCGTGTTGCTATGGTTCTTTTGTCTCAAGGAGAATACATTTAGGGCTAGCTTCATATCAGATATTTCTGGGAGATGGAGAATGGTAACTGATTTTGAAGGTTATTGGTTATCTGATTATTGACTGATCCATCAAGTCACAAAGGCTGCTAGAAGCAGTGTCCTCTTGCCTGGTGGCCTGCATTCTGACGCTAGGTATGATTAAATACATACAATTTTTTTTTTTTAAATACAATATGTACTAAAAGTCCAGCAGGTCCAGCTGTCCTCATGACAGCTGATTCTTGAATCACATTAGCCCACTCTGATAACTATTTTGCACAGAGCAGGCTGTATTATAATTGTCAAGGTAAAGAAAATTCGACTTGTTTCAGCAACTGGGGGATTATTAGTAACTTTTGTCTCACTTGAATCTTTCAAGCAAACTCTTGTCAAAGAATGACCCAGCAAACTCCATTTGAATTTATGTTAGAATAAAAAAGATGGATAAGATACTAGATGGGCATTGCACAAACACCTAATTTAATTAAATTTATGCAGGAGTGGGATACTTGAGTGAGAGGAAAAAACAACAGTCTTTCAGTATCCCCAAATGGAATTTCTCTTTGCCTCTAGTATCTAGGGATTCACTGTCCACTTTAACAGCTATTTTACTGGTTGTTCTCAGAGAAAAGTTGCTTCTTTCCTCTATATGTATAACAATTTTCTTCTTTGTTGCTGTTCACCTTTTCATTTTCCAAATAACATTTCCATCATAAATGACCATGATGGCAACTGGGCCTATCACAGGAGAATGCAAAGGTGCAGTCAGTGAGATGGCAGGCGGCTGGATACCCCCTAATCAAGGAGGGATCCGGAGCTGGGGCTCTCCCTTCCTTTTCCCTAGCAGGAGATAAACGACGGTCATGTCATCTTTCTAAGCTTGTGACAACTGGGAATGTTCTGCAGTCAGCTCATCTGCCTGTTCTGGCTAATAAAACACATCAGGTAGAAATAGCAGAATAAGGAGAGACAGACATGTGCTCATTATCTATATGCAGTAAAGAACTAGGGCCAGGAGTGCTGGGATCCTATTTAGCAGTGCTAAATTCTTGGACAGCCTGTGTGCTACAGGATGACACAGTCCCCGTTCTTTCAGGATTGCTGGCTTACAGGGCAGTTAGTCTGAATATTGATTTTGTTTTGGCTGTTCTTTTTTTTTCATATTAGTGCTCTAAGGTATCTGATTAATTTAGATGCTTGGACCTGCAAATTGCTGTTGGCAGTCTGAAGCGCTTCTTAGTGAGATCACATCAGCCCTAGGAAACTCTGAGGCTAAAGCAGGAATAGATCTTACATCTTTAGTATGTTAATAGAGTAAAATAGAGGGGGGAAAAAAGTAAAATAAAACCCACAAACATTATCTTTGTCTCACAGTGAAAATTCTGAAGCTAGGATAGGATGGTTTCAGAGTGGTGGAAGAATTGGCAAAGAGTGACTGTTCCAACTTCTGAACTTAGGCTGCAAACCCTTTGACTTTATTTCTCTGGATCTGCGCTCTGATGCTCATGGTTTGACACAGTGGCATTTCTGCTTAAGAAATGAGGTAAGTCTGTGTGTGTGTGTGTGTGTGTGTGTGCGCGCGCGCGTGTGAGAGAGAGAGAGAGAGAAGAGAGAGATCGATGGAGAGACGGCAGAACTGCTGAAATGAAGTTTGTACCTATCATTCTTATAGGCTATAGGTACTTAAATCTGGCTACAAGTAAGATGTTAGGCATGTGGAGTTAGCAGTGATGTAGAGATGTGTGTGCCAACCAAATATTTTATTTGAATCACTCAAAGGAAACGTATAGATTTAAGAGAAGAAATTTCATTATGCTTATCTGTTGTGATGTCTGACACAGTATAAGCCAGACAGTCTCATGCTTGGTTCCTGTATCAAAAATCATTGATTTTGGTTGCAACAACTCAGTTTTTAGAAAGATAATTTTGATTTGACAGTTTTGATTTTCAGTTGTTGGGTAGTGGGAGATGTGCCACGTTTCTGGGCAATCTGTTCTAAAGTTTCATCACGTTTACAAGTGCACCTGATATTATTCTCGGATTT